TATATATATATATATATATATATATATATATATATATATATATTATATATATATATATATATATATATGTATATATATATATATATATATATATATATATATATATATATATATATAATATATATATATATATATATATATATATATATATATATATATATATATATTATATATATATATATATATATATAATATATATATATTATATATATATATATATATATATATATATATATATATATATATATATATATATATATATATATATATTATGGTAGTATATATATGACCCGACCCATCCAAGGTCATTAATCTCCGATATTCAATTTAATTAACTTACAAGAATCTGCCACTCCTTTGGGGTCTATGGAGAATTATCATTATCAATCAAAATTTATCATCAAAACAGTTGCTATATTCAATAAACAACTGTGGACTGCATTAAGATAAATAGATGAGCCATCCAGTCACTTTCACAATGGCAAGTTGATAGTTCAAAATGAAACCCAAATTGAATACTTGTTTATCAGCATATTTAATAACAAAGATGAACCGGGAAATTTGAACATCTATTTCCTCCTTAGATATGTTGGGCGGCAACCCACACACCAGCTGTAGAAGTCTCTCAGGTTAGGACGACATCTTGACGCTTCAGCAGCACCCCCAAAGCAGCTCCTCTCAATGGCTCTCACACGGTGCTCCTGGGGTCTGTTGTCTGTGGAGGCCTCGTACCGCAAGCAGAGAGAGGGTAAAGGTTTGCTCCTTGTATATCTTGTTTCCCCCTCGCGGGTAGTGTCAGCTGTGTAAACAATAGGAAAAGGGGGGAGGGGGGATTTTGCCATACGTGGTAGTAGGGGTAGTCACATACCACCTTATCTAATTTAAAGATAAGTCATCACTATCTTCATTTCTAAACCATGAGTGATAATTAATAATATAATGAAATAATAATAATAATAATAATAATAATAATGAATAATAAGGAATAAATAATGAATAATCTATAGTCTGATCTGAAATTCTCTCCATTTAGAATTAATGAATAAACCCCCTGTCGGACTCTATTAATGAGCTATATTCTCACTGTCAAGCACACGAACTAAACGGTTTCATCATTTCCATAATTGCTCACTTTAGTAATAGTTTAAACTGTACCCTATAGCAGGGGAGGTAAACAGGTAGTACACCATGCAATAGGGTGACCTGGAAGCTAGTGGAGAGAAGGGACGCTTAATAAGAGACACACCACTTGCCTACCAGAAACAAACGTATGATTAATATTTCTGAAACCTAAAGAAAACAAACTAAAGTTGAGGAGGTGGCAATAGACCCAAGGACAAGCGTATATACTAAAAGGAGATAAAAGATATGGGAGCTACTGTAAAATGTTAATAATTAAAACAAATATACTGATCGTCCACTTTCAAATCAAAACTCGTTATTTGTATTAAGATATTCTTAACCATCATTATCAACATAATTATTATTACAGTTCTAATGATGATAAAATGGTTGTTACTGCTGTTGTTTTTTTACTGCTGCTGTTGTTACAGCTGTAATTATTACTATTACTAATACTATTAACACTATTACTAATACTATTAACACTATTACTAATACCATTACTATTACTATTGCTGCTAATGTCACTGCATGATAATAATAATAATGATAAAATGATAATAGTTTACTTCACTAGTTATCTAGATTTCAATATATCAATATTTGTTAAAGTGCTTATCACATGTAACACTGTTTGAAAATAAAACTGAAATGTTTAGTTTCTACATACGTCGATATACCTAAGTTACCCATGTAATTTGGCTACAAGTCCTCGTTTTCTGTTACAAACCTCCACAGCGAGAATTTATAATGGTATTCCTTGAAAATGTAAGGATGTTACATTAATCTATCAACTGAAATGTACCTCAAGTGTTCTAAATCATACTCACGAAGTGGGTTGATGTACCCGTGCCTTGGCTTTTGTCAAGGAAAATTGCATAAGAGTAGCTAGTATGTAATATACCTCCTTACCCTTTCTTACACAATAATATTTTCTAATAATAACATGCCTCCCTCTGTCTGAACCAAACAAATAAAAAGAAAAAAAAACAAAACAAAAAAAAATCCCCCTTATCATCACCCTACGAAGAATCATAATATCAAACGATCAAATGATAAATAAATAAATAAAAGGATTTTGCTTCTTTCGATCCTAAACTTGACAAAGCTTGACATGTGAAAGCAGCGTCTACAGTGTAAAGAAACTGTCCGGCTCAGTCGTTCTGGAGAGAGTGTGACAGACAGAACTACTTCGAAAGATGGAAGATGAGAAGACACTGGAGGAGAGGGAAGCCTTGCAAATACACGGTGAAGTTACATATTTTCGTTTTTTGTGGAATCGAGTATAGATTTTTTTCGTGATAGGAAAACAAATAAGGAAGAGTTAATAGGAAAGGGTTGGAACAAATAAGTATACTAGATATTCAAACCAGAAAGA